CGTTCACGACAGCTGGGTTACGGTAGTTTAAGTCAGGTTGAGCGACGGAAAATTGGTGAAGGTAGTACTGCTGTCTTTCTTCACTCCATTCCCAAGCAGATCCTTTAAATTCGCTTATCTTAAAAGGAACGATGCTTTACGTTAGTTTTTATGTCTTAAAGTATGTCTTTAACGTTAATATTTTTTATTATTTGTGATAATATACCCAGTTGTTTGGTGGAGTCCTGGTGCCATTGACTATAACTGCGTCTCTCCAGACGTAGTAGTCAGCGTATACAGAGTCGTTTTTCAAAGAAGCTTGGAACCATGCGTGTTGATCACTGGTGTGATTGGGAACGTAATCTAAGATCACTTTGATGTCACGTTTGTGAGCTTCGTCAAGTAGCTGTTTTAAGTCATCGAGATTACCATAGATCTCATCTAAAGTTGTATAAAATTGATTTAAAGAAAGCTTGAATAGTTAAAGAATTAAACACAAATATCCATTTATAGTTAGTAGGCCAGTCGGCAAGTGCATCGATGGCGGGAGCAAATCCGGACAAGCTGGAATAAGTTTTATTTTGGTGTTGAGAAGCACGTATTAAATTTGCACTCCCCGTAAGCCCGGATTTGGCCGCCATCTTGCAAAAATTGGCTAAAATTTGGTTTATTTTTCATTATTTGTCAATAACTCGATTTCTATCAACTATAGTGCAAAATATGTAGAGATCAAAACTAAAGAAGAGGAAAAAAAGTTTGATATGATGTAAGTGTTCAATATATCCGGGGTTAACTGTACTTGTTTCCACACCACCTTGAGCGGCACCACCCATACATAAAGCCTAAAAACTTGTTTGCTGCTGGTTGGCAGTAGCCTGCTGTCGCGGTCATAATGCAAGAACGCAATTTGCATTATGACCGCAATAACGGACTAAATTTTTATTGTTGCGCGATTGGTGGAAAATCAAATTTAACCGCCTTATCTCTCAGGGAGCTGCCTTGAGGTAAAGTAGGTACCCGGCGCGTTTTTTTTTGAGTGGTCTCCCCATTTCCAATAGGCCTAATCCACATGTCGTCAACTTAGGTTTCTTTTAAGGTGGAAGGTTCATCAGAGTTCGTTGTTTTTTTTTATTTTACTGGCTGTTCAATATAATCTTCCCGAATGTCTTCCACATCTGTATCATATTCCGGATCTGGTTTATAAGGTGCAGAATATTCTTTTCGTTGATCTTTATCGAGAGGAAAATTGTCCTAACTATTCGAATATGATTTGCCCTGACCATTACCGAGCAACGCAAACCTGCTTTGAGGCAACTACAAGATGTATTACAATCTTTGGCACATTTACATGAAATCAGATTTAATAATTCTTGGGGAGCTGCATCTTGGGAAGTTGCAATGGGCATCAACCCATTCTTTGAATTTTTCCATCCCCAATCTAGAGGTGATTTTTCATTCCCATACCATAGCTGTACCTGACTGTACGTACGGAATGAGTGCAAGCGGAATGAGTGAAATAGATTTTACGAAACACTGGTATCTGTACTTATCTAATGAGTCGCATTTTTTGGATCCATATAGATGAAGAAGAAATCGTTCTCCAGCTTTTTTTATATCTTCTGGGGATGCGTTTGGGTCTTTGAAAGTTTGTGCAGCTGTCTGTAATAATTCTTTTTCTTTCTGTAAAACTTTAACGAATTTCATTTTTCCTTTTCTGTATAATGCGGATGTTGTGGGGCAGCCACTAAATGCGTGGAGAAATAAAAAGAGTAAGAGAGAAGAATACAGGAAATAATAACTGCTTATAATAGGTATATTTAGCGTGTTTAAACCGAGATAACTTGGAAACGGTCGTCGCACGGAAAAAGTACATAGACCGTTTTTATAGAGTTTTTCCTCTTCTTTAATTTTGGTCTGTACATTTTTTGCACTAAAGTTGATAGAAATCGAGTTATTGATAAATAATGAAAAATAAACCGAATTTTAGCCACTTTTTTCAAGATGGCGGCCAAATCCGGGCTTTGGGGGTGGTGCAAATTTAACACGTGGTTCCTTACACTAAACTAAACAAAATAAAATTTATTCTAGCTTGTCCGGATTTGCTCCCGCCATAAGTTATTTTTTAATACTTGGCGACTGGCCTATAGTGATATGTTATAAAAATAAAAGATATAAAGTTAAAGGTTTTGAGAAAAAACATGGACAAGGGTGAGCCAAAAAAAACTAACCTATGGAATTTATGGGTTAAAATGAACCTAATAATCGAGTATCTTAACTTGTGTTAGTTATCTGCTTTTAGATACACTCTTTATCAATAATTTTTTGGCATATGCAGAATGTACAAAGCTTTTTGTGCCATTTAGGGCCATACGTATGACTAAAAATGCATATTTTTCGAAAAAACGTCGTATTTTCCTTAAAACAAAAAAAAATAAAAAACCGATCAAACTGTTTTTTCTAATTTCAATGCAGATTAGTCGTACTTGGTAAAAATTTCGATTTTTTAAAAATTGTAAATTTGCGGTAAAAAAGATTCTTGATCAAATTTTCACACTCTTATAAAACACCCGGTATACGAGAATTCGCTAAATTTATTTTCGAAAACCACATCAGCATCTTAATCACAATAGATTCATCTAAAACCTGGTCCAAACCGCATCCCAAAATTTTTTTAGTTCAAGAGATATTCAACTTTAAATTTACCCTAAAATTTTGCTTGTCCCAATAATTATGTCCGGCAATTTATTTGACGAAATTGTCCACAAGTACTAGTTAAACGCTTTCTTCACTTACGCACATACGCCAGAAAGAAATCTAACAATTAGCCTCTTTGTTTCACTTATTTTTAATGGTTAAGCCGTAAGGGGAATCCTTCGGGTTCCGAACGTCGACGCATCGGCCCGGAACGAAGCGGTTTCATCTTAATCGAGATCGATTCGGTTACCCAGTAGTAATGTGTCGATCCCGCGGATCCCGAACGGTAAATCCCACAACTTTGATCCCGCGGAATCGCAGAGGGATCCCGCATTTGCGGGATCCAGCATTTGCGGGATTGCATTCCCTAATTCAAGTTTTAGTGTTTATTGATTAAAAATTTTCACTTATAATATCACAAGAGCTTAAATTATTTTCGGAAACTTTTTTGAGGGCACGAATATTTTGAAAATTATCCCGAGTCGAAGACGAGGGATAATTTTCCTAAAATATTCGTGCCCGAAAGAAAATTTCCAGGAATAATTTAAGCTTGCGTGGTATTCGGTAAGAAAATTTCACACCTAAATTTGAAAAAAAATATTAATCCAACATGACATTTTAAAATAATTTCAATTTGTTAATAATATTAACAAATATTATTATATTTTTTTTTAATTAGTTACATCAAATGCTAAAACTCAAATGGGTAATATTTCAATATATAGACATTGTAGTTCATTCACATTATGATTGTAGATCTTATGTTTACCTTTTCAACTGTCAAAAAATTTCCACTAAAGTTTCGTGGCGCCTCGAAAAAATTTCCGGAAATTTTTTCAGTTGCCATGGTAACTAGTCAACATTAAAGCATGTTATTGGTTGAAAACTAGAGGTGTGAAATTTTCATATTTAATAAAAAGAAACTAGATTATTCTCACATGGATTTTTTAGGAAATTTATGCTTTACAAGAATCCGCGATGTAAATTTTTTTATCATAAACTTTTTCAAAGTTATGGTACATTTTACGGAAAAATATTTTTTAAGTGTTATTTAAATGGAAAATTTTGAATGTTCACCGACACCTTTTTAAATTGAACTATAGGGGATATATAGGGGATATTTTTTTCTCGGTTATTCATTTTAACCCATAAATTCCATAGGTTAGTTTTTTTGGCTCACCCTAAATGAACATCTATTGTAATAATTATTTTAGAGGTGTAAGTCAAATAAAATATGTTAACTAAGAACAAAAATGAATTAAATGTTAAAAAAATTATAGATGCTTATTAAAATGTATTGCAGCTGAAGATAAAAATTGTGGATGTATTACAAAATCATCAAAATATCACATACCAACATCACGATAATCTGAAATATCGTAACCATTATCAACTTGTGGGGATTTATAAATTGGCGAGAGCCATACAGCATCCACACCCGCATCTTGAATGTGATCCAGCTTTTGGATTATTCCTAAAAGTTATTTTAACGTTTGTAAATGCTTCTTTGCCATATAAATATCTTTTTTCTCTAGAAAAAGACTAATATTACCTTGTAGATCACCACTACCATCGTTGTTACTGTCTTTAAAGCTTCTGGGATAGATCTGGTAGAACACAGATGTTTCCCACCATTCAGTGAAAAGTCCAAGATTGGATCCGTCTTTTTTCCCTGTATTAGTTAATACAACAGTGTCACCAAAGGCAACACTGCAGAACACCGCGAATGTTAAACACTGTAACGACTTCATCTTAGGTCTGGTGATAGACATCGACGGTTTTTTAAGTTGATTCTCTATGTTTTATACTGTTTATCGTAATGACTAGGCGAAATCTCAAGAAGAAAACAAACAAAGACCGAAGAGGTGGAGACATAAAAAACAAATCGGTAGATAAAAAATAAATACTGTTTAATCGATATCGAGAATTATATAGTTTTTTGTTATTAAAAAGGTACTTAAGTTATTTAGAAAAACTTCATATTATTATAAGCAGTGGTAATTGCAAACAGACATATATTACATAAAAAATGGCAGAAATGTATATTTTTTTCTCCCAGTGCCAGTGGTGTAATACAGGTATGGACAAAAAGTTATTACTTTCCAAAACAGTTAAAAATTATGCAGGTGGCGGTTAGGTGTTCCTCAGAAACGAAGTATTTTAACACTTAAATTTATACGAACTTTCTTACTTGTTCTTATCTGCATAATATATCGCCTAAGGCTCGCAACTACAATTCGAACCATCCTGTATAGTGGTATAGTTCTGTAATGAAGGTTTGCTTTTGGTAGTTATTAGGTTACATTGATTAAAAAAAAACAGCGTAAGACTGTTTTATTGTTTATATTTTAAAGTATAACTGTTACAAAATCAAAATTTTCCTGGTCCATTTATTTGTCCAGACGCACTAGTACTGCTTCTCTCGCTAGAAGAGTACCGTTGTAGTTAAACAGATCCCTATAAAACCAAATGAATTAATAAGATACTAAATATATTAGTATACAGGGTGTTCCTTACTGACATGCTAATATTTAAGGTCGTAATTCTTGGACCTATTCTAAGAGTAAAACTTCATATGGATGTATGTCTTAAAGATCTTAATTTTTTTTTAAAAGTTAAGATGTTTAGGATATTCATATGACGTTTTTTCTTAGAATAAGTCCAAGAATCACCTCCTTAAATATTAGAATGCCATTAAGAAACGCACTGTATACAGGGTGGCGCACCTCATTCGCCTCGGTTGATTATACGAAAACGGAAAGATGTAGAAACAAACTATTTTATGGGTATATGTGGGGAGACAATGTGCACAATTTAAAATTATTTTGAAATATACAGGGTGTTTCAGAACTAAGATCCATACCAAAGTTATATTTTTTCTTATGGAACACCCGGTATTTTATTTCGTTTTTGGATTCTTGGGCCCAAAAAAGGCATTTATTATAAAGGTTAAATATGTTTAAAATGTTTAGTTTTTGAGATATTTAAAGATATTTAAATTTGCATGCTACAATAAAATAGACTATTAACACCTTGCACATTACTTTTCAGAATTAATTGTTATGCTGAGTTTAAAGGTAAAGAAATAAATTTTATTGAAAAATGGTATTGGTTCCTTAAATTTATACAGGACTATCAAAAGTTGCTGATTTATTTTAAAGATATATTTTATATAAAAACTTCGTTATTTCAAATACAACATCCTGTATTTTTTTAAATAAATCGAAGCAGATTCAAATGCTCTTTCAAACTATATTAGGGTTTCCTATACCTATCTAGCTCAGATTTTGAATAAAAAGCGATTTTTAAATAAAATTGCAATCAAGATGGCTGGTGTCGCCATGGCAATTTTCTTTTTTTTTAAATATACGTTAATACTGGTCTAATAATACTTCAGGTACAATCATAGAAATAAAATCTTGAGTCTTACCCAATATTATAAGCGCTATTACTGCTTCTTATAACAACTGTTGCATTGGCCTCAGCGATATACTTTGACGGAGTTACAGCTTCATCGCCAACGTTATAGTACAACACATAATCATCGTTATTGGAAGATAATATTCTTTCAGCCACAAACAGATTAGCGTAACTTGATAAAAGTACGAAATATCCAGTCTCATTTCTGAAGGACTGCCTTAATTGCAACGTTTGTTTGTAGATATTGTAGTGACTGTTTATACCAGTAACGTTTTGGCTTTCTAGATTCGTCTCTAAGTACTTCTGGCTCACTGGTAACCAAGGTTCAGCACCCTCATTAAATCCTGCGAAAAATAAATCACTAAAGAATAATTTTGATATAGCGTGAGCTTAGGTATACAAAACAGAACATAAGTAAGTAAAGAACTGCCTAAAGAACTAATAGTATAGTCTGTGAAACGAATAACTTTGAATTTGACAGTTCCCGCGGGCTTTTCTAGTGTTAATTTTATTAGGTTAGCAACTTGCGGCCATGCTGACGCAATGCCGTCTCTAATAGAACAGCCTCAGAGCGAGATTTATGACGTCATGCTAGTTAGATACTACGGATTAATAAATATGTTGTAGAATACATGGAAAACATAATAATTCCTCGTATTTATGGTTTGTATTTTAAAAATGATATAGTTTACATGAAATATACATAATATACAGTTAATAAATACAATATATATACCTATTTATAGTAATAAATACTTTCGCAAATAAACTATGAACCATACAAATGCAGCAAATGTTTTACAATATACAAATAATGAATAGGTACATAAGATAATGGGTAAAATGTAAAATATATTTTAAATTTTGGAGTTTGAAAATCGATCTAATTTAACAAACAACATTCAATGTCTACTACTTACTATGACTGAAATCGTACTCCACAGTTAATGTAGATAGTTTTAGTGTTAAGAATAATAATTTAAAAAAATACGTGGGCATCTTTTGACAAGTTTATATTAGTTTATTAATTGCAGTAAACATTATGGTGTGTGGTGTGAATATTTTATATGTAATTTTATGGATTATATTCGACATTATTTTTATTCATATGACAACACTGATAAAGGCTATGGTGTTTTTTTTTAAACCACGTTTTTTAACCCAAAAAAATAATGAAAAAACAAATGAAAACTTAATCAGCGTTTTTCCCGAACCTAAATCCCAAGAAAATCAAAAATTTTAGAATAATTTTACATATAAAATGACTGCGATCTTTATTATAGCCATCGCTGCCGCCTTTTTTTCTATGATATTGTATTATTTGCAAATATAATATTTCGAACATTGATACTTGCAAAATATGCATATACATTTTGTGAATACAAATAATAATACATCACTATTAGTAGATATTGAATGTTTTTTTGTTAAATTATATCGATTTTCAAACCCCAAAATTTAAAATATATTTTACATTTTACCCATTATCTTATGTACCTATTCATTATTTGTAGGTATATTGTAAAACATTTGCTGCATTTGTATGGTTCATAGCCAATTTGCCAAAGTATTTATTACTATAAATAGGTATATATATTGTATTAATTAACTGTATATTATGTATATTTCATGTACTGTATCATTTTTAAAATACAAACCAAAAATACGAGGAATTATTATTTTTTCCATGTATTCTACAACATATTTATTAATCCGTAGTATCTCACTAGCGTGACGTCATAAATCTCGCTCCGAGGCTGTTCTATTAGAGACGGCATTGGTCTGATATTTAGAAATGTCAAAAGCTGATGACATTTTAGTTTTGACAATTGTGTTGATTTCTGCAAGAAGAGGAAGAACTGTCACTTGTTTTATTATTTTCCTTTTCTATTTCACGAAAGTAAAAAGAGTTACCTGTCTGATTCGTTCAGGCACTCAATTTAAAGAATATCAGTAACTTTTTTGATAGAGGGATTTTATATTTGCCCTGTTGGTAAAAAATAACGGTCAAAATTCAAAGTTATTCATTTTATAGACTATACGTATCAATAATTAGTGTTTGTTTGGTTGGGCTTTACCTGCATTTACTGTTGAATCCCACTGAAAAGGTGTTCGTTCAAAGTCTCTGCTCGTTTGGTTGAAAGTACTGCAGTTTTTAATAGCTTGTGGATCGTAGCCTTGCTCGCAAGTTACTTCTCCATTCTCCTGACCTATTTCTTCACCATTGTAAGTTACTTGAACTCCGGGTAATATAGAAATTAGTATGTTTAAAGCATCGACGTTTTCTGGTCCCAACCTGGTGGAAACCCTCGACTGATCATGGTTTCCCAACTAAAATTCGTTTATTTGTTTAAATTTAGAGAAAAAAAATGACATATGATGTTTATTTACCACCCAGTTAGGAGTATATTGTGCTGGGATGTAATTAAACCAGTTATAAATGGACCCCCATAACTGAGTGGAAGTAAAGCCCTTCTGGAGTCCCAGGATAAAAGACCAGAAGTTGAAGGTGAAATGGGCTCCTTTCCTAGACCCGCTATAAGTTCCGTAGTAGAGCATGGTAGTTGCGATATCGCTGTAGACCTCGGTCATCATAATTCGAGGATATGACAGGTTGGCGCTGTATTTATCCAATAGATCTCTGAAATCGTAGATTAGTTGGAGAGTTTCGTGTTGGTCGGCCGTGTAAATGTGTTTCAAATATCCGTAATCTTCAGGACCAGAGTTCGTGTCCCCTAAAATATATTTGTTTAATTTAAAGTCAGGGTTTAATCTAATTGATGATCCGAACCTGACGGAGGTTCATCCCTAAATTGGGCGTCTTCGAAAAGAGCGAATACCGCGTCCATTCTGAAGCCATCAACACCAAAATCCAACCAGTATGTTAAAACGTCTTTCAGTTCGTTCACGACAGCTGGATTACGGTAGTTTAAGTCAGGTTGAGCGACGGAAAATTGGTGAAGATAGTACTGCTGTCTTTCTTCACTCCATTCCCAAGCAGATCCTTTAAATTCACTAAGCTTAAAAGGAACGAGTCTTGAAGACTTTAAGTATGCATCTAACATCAATATTATATATTATTTGTGATAATATACCCAGTTATTTGGTGGAGTTCTGGTTCCATTGACTATAACTGCGTCTTTCCAGACGTAGTAGTCAGCGTATACAGAGTCGTTCTTCAAAGAAGCTTGGAACCATGCATGTTGATCACTGGTGTGATTGGGAACGTAATCTAAGATCACTTTGATGCCACGTTTGTGAGCTTCGTCAAGTAGCTGTTTTAGGTCATCGAGAGTACCGTAGATCTCATCTAGAGTTGGATAAAATTTATTTAAAGAAAACCTTGGATAGTTACAGACTTAAACATAATTATCTATTATATAAGTAATTTAAAAATAATTTAATTGAACTTATAAGTATTTAACTGATATCGATCATATCTGTAAGTATGGAAATTTATAGCAGTGATTTTTAATTTAAAGATACAAAATGATAGGATGTTGCATAAAAATCGAAAATATAAAAAATATAATCTACTTAATCCACTTAACCTACTCCGGACGTTCGCAATACGGACGTTCATTTATACCAGATAATCTGATAAAAATGTTTTTTTTTTCCATATAACTTAACTTATAAAATGACAACGATCTTCAAGTTGTCGAAAAGATCTTAAGAGATTAAACAGAAGAGAGTCATAAATAAAGTTGCCGATTCTAAACCAAAACATTTATTTAGTTTTATAAAACGTCTATCCGGTTCTATCCAAGTTGTTTAACCGAATATATGACACTGGTCACTATCCGGAGCAATGGTTATCTTCAACTTTTATCCCTATACCAAAGAAGATAAGCGCACGAAAATGTGAAGAACACAGACTCATCAGTCTCATGAGTCGTTCTCTAAAAATATTCCTGAGAATAATACGTCGATACGGAAGGTGTGAGGATGCCATGAGTGATTCACAGTTTGGATTTAGACAAATGTTAGGCACCAGGAACCACTGGCCGGGACGCAGATATTAGTACAGAACTGCTACGACCAGCGAAAGAACGCATGTCTATGTTTTATAGATTACGGAAAAGCTTTCCGTAGAGTTCAACATCATAAACTTATGCTGCTTCTCAGGAGATTAGATTTAGACCAGAAAGACATCCGATGCATATATTGGAAAAATTAGCGAAGGGCCTAACCAACCAAATTTGTATTCGCAGAGGAGTAAGGCAGGAGTGTATACCATCGCCGCTCTTGTTCAATATATACTCAGAGGCCATCTTTGAGGAGTCGCTAGAGGACAAGGAGATTGGAATTAGAGTCAATAGAGTCTGGATAAATAACATACGATATGCCGATGACACAGTTCTGGTTGCGGATAACATAGATGATTTACAACAGTTGGTTAGTATGGTAGAAGAATGTAGTCAAAGAATGGGACTTGCCATTAACACAAAGAAAACAAAATTCATGGTTGTCACCAAGGAGAATTCTTAGAACCAGTCGCAAAATTTAAGTACCTGGGAGCTTGGCTTTACGAGGACTGGTCATCTGACAGGGACGTTCAGTGCAGAATCGAGCAAGCCCGGGTGCATTCCTGAAATTTAAAAAAGTCTTCACCTGTAGCGATTTTGACCTTGAGCTTAGATTGAGATTTGTGGAATGCTACGTCTGGTCGGTACTCCTCTACGGGTGGAGAGTTGGACACTAAAAGCAAGTGCCATAAACGGACTGGAAGCTTTCTAAATGTGGATATACCGCAGAATCCTCAAGATACCATGGACGGCCAAGATAAGAAACGAGAATGTGCTCATCAGACGTATTAATAGAGAACGTGAATTCTTCAACGCCATAAAAAAAGAAAGACTTTTTTTTCAAAAAGAAAAAGAAAGACCAATTTCTCCAATTGATTATCGAGGGCAGAAGAAGTTTGGAACGGAAAAAATGTCGTGGCTGCGGAACCAAAGACAATGGACAAGCATGCGTAACATACAGACGTTTCACTATCACTATCTCTGGCTGTGTGGATCACAGCCAGAGATAGGGAAGCCATGGAAAGTGTGGTCACAAACATCCGTTAATGGATAAGCAGAGAAAGAAGAAGATAAAATGACATTTTGAGAGAAAGACAATTTGTTTAAAAAAAGGACTGACCTTTTCAAAAAATGACTGTGGCAACCCTAGTTAAGCCACTCAAAAAAATGTTGGTATTTGAAATTTGTAATTGTATAGTCCAAACCAAACCAAACCAAACTTCATTGGTGTATAAGACTTTCTGCCTGGGCAGCGAGTATTAACCATAAACTGTGCTCTGGGTCTACAGTTAATTTTCACTCAATTTTTCCTCCACTTCAAAAGACACAAAACACACGTAATAATACGAATCAAAATGCATCATCTTCCAAAACGCAGGGTATTTAACAAAAGTTGACACAAAATTATAACCTATAATTTGGCACGATTTTGACAAGCGTCAAAAATGACAAAAATCTACGCATCGGCGTCCGTTTGTCGTTCATCGTTCCGTCAAACCAATAAAATTGAAATACGATCTGTCATTTTTTAAATAAACCAATAAAACTGGTTAAAAACAACAAGACACGACGCATGACGGATTTATATTTAAACCCATCCATAGATAATTTAAAAATTATTAGAAACTTTTTTTAGTAAAATAAATAGATTGGTATGGGACGTCATCTGCTTTTCTTGTCATCGTCTGTCGAAATCTTACCTGAGAAAACAAACAGAGTATATTGGTAATTTATTTAAAAAAACTATATTACAATGTTTGTATTCTTTTTCATTTTAAGTTATTCGGAATTTAAATGGAAGTAGTTTGGATATGGCATTTGTCGCCGGTAAATTACTTATTTCGTTTTGAGCCATTTCTGGCTCCAATTCAATCAGCAACCGACACGAAAGAGAATTAAAAAATGTTGACTCAAAACTGACAACTAAAGAGACAGCTTTATTTATTTGTCAAATTACATAGAAACCAACGCCAACCCAGTACAATATTTTTTCTACTCGTAATAAATTCCTTGAAGTAATAATCTCTGAATATTTTTTTAAAACGTAACTCGCTATGGAAAAAAATATTGTTATCTCCCGAAATGAATTCACTCGCGATTTCATCGCTCGTGAATTAATCTTTTCGGTCGACGATAAAATACCATTTTATCGTCTTGTATAAAAAATAACTATAAATTTGTTTTTCTCCCAAACTATGTTTTGTCACTTAACATTACCTAACGTTTACTTCTGGGATCTCGGGTACAGATATAGATTTTTATTATTTGTACTATTATATTAAATATTCACATACCAACGTCACGATAATCTGAGATATCGTAACCATTATCAACTTGTGGGGATTTATAAATTGGAGAAAGCCATACAGCATCTATCCCAGCATCTTGAATGTGATCCAGCTTTTGGATTATTCCTAAAAGTTATTTTACCGCTTGTGAATGCTTCTTTGTCCTATGATTACTAATTTTACCCTGTAGATCACCGCTTCCATCGTTATCACTGTCCTTGAAACTTCTGGGATATATCTGGTAGAACACAGATGTTTCCCACCATTCAGTGAAAAGTTTCAGATTGGATCCGTCTTCTTTTCCTGTGTTAGTTAATACAACAGTGTCACCGAAGGCAACGCTGCAGAACACCGCGAACATTAAACACTGTAACGACTTCATCTTATGTCGGGTGTTACACATAAACGGGTTTTGAAGTCGATTCTGTATGTTTTATACCGTTTATCGTAATGATTAGGCCAAATGTCAAGAAGGAATCAAACAAGGACCGAAGAGGTGGACAAATAAAAAACGGCGCGATAGATATAAATGATTCTAATCTGGACAAGTTGACTTTTTAGCTTTTTAAGATGTTTTAGTTTATTTTGAGATTTAGTCAGTCTTTAAGTGCCAATATATACTGTGTGTCCTGAAGCACAAATTAACTGCAACTGAATACAACCAGCAATAAAGTAAGTCTCAAAATGAATTTAGTAAAAACTAAAGTAACGTATAACGAACTAGTAGGCAGGAAGGGCATTCTAATAAATAACATAACACTGGAAATAGTAGAATATATACACATCTGGCCAAAATTATTGCATATAACGATATTTTTATTTTATTTTGGACCTAATATGATTCTTTTTATATTTTTGAACATATTGGCTTACTACACGACTAACTAATACAAAATTAAGAATCTAAGGACTGTTTGACACGGGACTTAAATTTAAGAACTGAAAAGTAGTTTGGGTTATATTTTATAAAATATTGTATGCAAAAAATATGTATGTATGTCACAATACATGATTAGGACCGTTTGACACGGGACAATATTCCAGCCTAAATTGTATACAATTTGTTGCGCGCGCATTTTTAGTCAAATTGCATGCAATAAAATAGAACATGTTCTAAATTCTTGCATGCAATTAGCTGAACATGCGCAATACATAATTTAATTTCTCTGATTTTGTAAGGTTATATGTTTATATTACATTTGTTTGTTAAGTTAATTGTTTATGTTTGCTCTGTTTGATTGTGAGGCTTTAACCGACTGTAATTAGTAAGTAAGTTAAATCAACTTAACAAACAAATGTAACATAAACATAACCTTACAAAATCAGAGAAATGAAATTATGTATTGCGCATGTTCAGCTAATTGCATGCAAGAATTTAGAACATGTTCTATTTTATTGCATGCAATTTGACTAAAAATGCGCGCGCAACAAATTGTATACAATTTAGGCTGGAATAATGTCCCGTGTCAAACGGCCCTAAGTACAACTAGGCTGTTATTATAATTTTATTTCATAATGAGTGAAAATCAACAAAAACAAATTTCTTTATAAACAGAAAATATTGAAAACAATTTTAATTATTTGTCACAACTAATAGCCTGTATTGCCTCCTCGAGCCTCAATGCAAGCTGTGAGACGACGTGGCATGCTCTCAATTAAGTTGTCCAGAAGATGTTGAGGTATGGCTTCCCATGTTTCGTGCGCAGCAATTTTCAATTCATTAAGGTACGGGGGGGATCATTCCTTTTGGCAATATGACGTTTTAGCATGTCCCAAGCATACTCGATCACATTCATATCTGGAGACATCGGTGGCCACCACAGTTTTTTTATACCCTCTTCCTCACAAAATTCGCGAACCGCTAAAGTGCAATGGGGAGGAGCATGTAAACAAATTCATCCCCCACTGCCCCTCGAAATGGACGCACAATAGGCTCTAAAACGTCTCTAAGATATGGGGCACTTGTCATTGTGCCATCAATAAAAACAAGAGGAGTTCGAGCTCCATGCGTTTTACCTGCCCATACCATAATGCTTCCGCCTTGAAACGGGACACACGGGGTTGAGCTGCATTCAAGCGTGCTCGTCTTCTAGATGCTCTCCAGACCAAAGTTCGTCGCGAGTCTGACACTAGGCCTATTCCTTGTTTCATCACTAAACATGACGAAATTCCAATTAGGTCCATTTGCTCTCATCTCCTCAGCCCAATGTAGTCTTTGTGCTGTAAATTAAGCTTCGGAACACGTAGAGGCCTCCTTAAATGTAATCCTCTGTCATGGAGTCTTCTTGCTATGGCCTTTCTTGAAACATTGACTCCTTCAAGGCGAGCTAACTCATTTTTAATAGCAGCACTAGAAAGCAGGGGATTGCGTCGTGCAATTAGGGATATTTGACGGTCTTGCACAGCAGTAGTAACTCTCTTTCTACCTCTTCCAGGCCGGTCTGTAACTTCGTTTCTCGCCCTGATTTTTTTTTAATATTCACGAAATATCGCTTTAGTTAACTCCTACAATTTCAGCTATTGCAACTTGATAGTAGGAAATTAGGAGGGACGCCTTTCTCGTATATTCAGTAAAATCATCATACTTTCACATGATCCTTATTTTTTTTGTTTTTTTTTATTTATATAATAAAGTCAAGTTATCAATCCATTTGTTCCTATCTCCTTCCAATAAAAGATTTTATCGACAATGGTTTGAGGGTTTTCACCTTGAGTAGTACTATTAAGTACGTAGTACAGGCACTCAAATAGTGTCAATTTGATTCGGTGATAAAATGTATCGGTTACGTGTACTTGTGATAAACTGATGATTTTCATCACATATACAGGGTTTTCAGAGATATTTAGTGACATATCTGCAGGCTTACGTACTGTTGATATAGTAAACGCCACGAATGTTTGGGAGTGATTGATCGGTCGCTACCATGTGAACTAATCTGCTCAGGGTTACATAAAACTTAATTCCAGTGTCGTGGTGCTTCAAGTCATATAATAATCAATACATAATCTGTTGTAATTTGTTGTTTTAACAGTCAAAGTCTTGTCAAAACATATATTTGGTTATAAATATAAACTGAAATGCCCCATTGGTCGCACTGCAAGCACACCAATGGACTGACGACTGACGCACAAAAACGAATCAATCAAAGAAACGCGATATAGTATCGTCTTTGTCAATCACGCTAACATTTTAGAATAAGTAGGAGGAGCGCAGGCAGATGATTAGACCGGGCCTTTAAAAACCTACGTCTGCGGTAAAAATTTACGTTTTTAATGTAAAAATGCAAATACGTTTAAATTTACATATACCGCGGCCTCCCCATAAGAGCAATGCGAGAATTTATGTCCCAGAATTGAAGGACAGAAGATCGAGTTTGACATAAGTCCATCCTCGTTCAGTAGCTGGATGTAATGCACATGCGCCGAAATGCTACTTTTCTATTGGCCGAATGGTGTCGAGATGGGTTATCGATTTATTTTTGGAAGCGTCGTCGGCGTGGATTTTGTTTTCAGTTTGGACTTGGGCAGTCGCCATTAGTGTCATTAGTGTTTTCTCTAACTTTCTGTGTTTTCCACGTGTACTGTGTTTTCATTTGTATTTTAATCTTTGTGTTTATTGACAATTTTGTGATTTAGTTTTAAAAGACTTTTGCTGTAGTTTAATTAATAGAACAATGGAAATGGGCTACTGCTTTTGTGTGGTAGAAGCCAACTAACAAAATTAATAATAGAAATTTTTCTCGATGTTCGTTTGTATCATGAAAGCAAAATCAGAAATAAAAGGGATGTTAATATAAGACAAAAATATACGAAACTAATTTTATTCAAAAATCAATAATTGTTACAAGCATTATATTTACTTACTATTTTAATAGTCTTACTATTTTAAAATAAAAAAGACATAATGTAAAGACTAAAAATAGAGACTACATAAGGCTAATTATAATGCTTACACAGTTACACACAGACTGTCTTATTGTAAATTATTATTGTTTTTTTTCATAATATAAAAGAGTATTTACAATTAATGCAACAATGTAAATAATTATATTTTTGTATCTAGCTTGATTTATGTATAAACTTAATATGTAATGTTATATTTGTTTAATAAAAATATGTTAATAATAAAGAATTACTTTTTGTTTCATTTTAAACCAGGACTGATGTTGATTATTGATCATAAATACATGGGCAGTAAAAGAAACAATAGACAGTAAAAATGTACTGTGATACTTTGTTTTGCTGCAATTTTTAAGTCGAGTGAAATAGATATGCAATTTGTACTACAAAGTTTTTAAGACAGTTCCTTAATTGAGGTTTTACTAAATTATTTTTTGAATTTTAAAAAAAGTGAAATAATGCAATTTGTACTACGAAGTTTTTAAGACAATTTCTTAATAATTGTGGTTTTACTAAATTATTTTTTGAATTTAAAAAAAAATATCATACCTGTGACTTTTTTCCATTCGTTTTATTTAATAATAATTGTCTAACACAACAAAGTCTACTTAGAACGATATGATATAAATATAAATGAGTTCATTAAAAAATAGTCTAATTAAAATTAGTACCTAAATAAGCAAAAATTATCCCCTCATAAAACAAGAAATTAAGGAGTTCAGTAAAAGGATTGCAACTATATATATTTATTCAGTAAATTTTCATAATAGTAAGTATAAAAGCACAATCTCTAAAACGACAATATGAATAATATATATTAAGATTTAACTCGAGTTTCAGTGAAAAACTATATTGATATTAAAATATTTTAATACCTTCAGAATACTAATTACATACCATAAAATAGGAGTTTTTACGATGCGTGAAGCCTATCTAGAAAAAGAATTTTAGAAATCAGCAATGGGATTCTGTAAGCTCTGTAGCAAGAAATTTCCTATCGAGCCTATGCTATTTGTATACGATTGATGAGTCTAGACAGGGAAATGTTTACAGAATCGCACTGCAGATACCTATTACGCTTTCACTAGAGCCCCCATTGTGAGACAGATATAAAATAATTTTTATATACCTATATTCCATAGCCTATTCTTTTAAATGTCTGTAATATTTATAATAAACTTATTTTAACGAGTAGAAGCATTGCACCAGCATCAAAATTAACACTACTTGTAAAAAACTGTTGCTCCTTGAGTTTGTAATAGATATAAACAAAATAAACATTCGAAAATAACTAAATCGAAGATATCTGAAAACTTTTGGTCGAAAAAGTGTTTTGCCATAACATGTTGGATACGATTAAAATATCTCAATTGATAAATATGCGCATAATGTTACATTATCAAACTTATTTGATTTCAGAATATTTAACAAAAAGCTTCCAATTTTTCGAAAGATTTAATTCAATTATTAGAACGTCTTTTAACCTCAACTTAAAATAAATAAAACCAAAACAAAACATATCATATGATTTGGAACTGTCCAATCAAAGTGCTTACAGATCGAGCAAGCGCAGAAAACCTCCTCCCGAACAAGGATAGACTTATGTAGGAAATGCATTGACATTCTATAGCCATCCTTCAACATCGGGACAGGAATTTAAGCGGTACCCTCCGTATATTTTATTTGAACGTATTTGACTATAGCAAATATCTTATAAGACTATACAGGGTGTCTCAGATTTTAATCGGGAAAATTTAATAGACGATAGAACTTGCAAAAATAAAACAAAAAGTTCATATCAACTTGTAAGATTTAAAGCTTCCTTTTCGAGATACAGGGTACCATTAGAATACCAATTATAATATTAATTACCAATTAGAATTTATTTTTTTTCGCAAGAAGTAAGCAAGATAGACAAAAAAGTCAGGAGACAAAAAAATAATATTTTTAATTACTAAATCCAAAAATAATATTAAACTAAAAAAGCAGTGGCGTGCCTATTTTTTCCTTTAAAATACTTTAACAGTGATGCCCCACCGCCGCCCCTGGCCATTAAACTTAAATCTAATTACATCAAATTAAGTCCCATAGTAAGTATTATAAACGGGTCAAGTTATATCAAAATCGATTAAATAGTTTTTCAAATATCTTAATTTTTTTTTCTTTTTTAAGTAACTTTAACACCCTGTATCTCGAAAAGGAAGCTTTAAATCTTACAAGTTGATATGAACTTTTTGTTTTATTTTTGCAAGTTCTATGGTCTATTAAATTTTCCTGATTAAAATCTGAGACACCCTGTATATTGCTAGTAAGGAACAGAAATTGAAGCCACATTTTTGAGATGGAGCTATACAAAATCCACATAAGTCAGTCCTTTTCGTTCAACAGCTTTGAAATACGCAAGCGTGAGAAGTGCTTGGCGATTAGTTGATTTATTTCATACTAACCAATAGAAGTTGTTTTCTAAGTTTCTATCTACCACGTAAATCAATTTAGCGTCTGACTATTCGCGCCTTTACTTATAAATTTAAATTTAATCTCTGACGTATTTAAACAAAAACAAGAAACGTATAGATATGATGAATATCTATAATAACGGGTTGAATTAATACCATTACTAATAAAAAATAATATATTATACCCTATTAATATTTAGAGTTTAAAATACTGCGCGGGCAGGTGACAGCGTTCAACGATGAAGTAGACAAATCAGATCGTTTTTTTTTGGCGCGTGCGCACGAAGATCCTGTTGAACCAAAAGGATAGGCTTATGCAAGATTGTTATTCCTATTTCTTTTCTTTGGCTTCATTTTCCACTCATTGTGTAAATGCGGTACTGGCAATATAGTCTAATAATATATTTGGGAGATAACAAAGTAACAAACTTCAAATGTAGAACTTAAACGTTTTATCTGAAATTTAGCGGTTTTATCTTAACTGCCAGAAAGTGAAATAAAAATAAAAAAGATAAGATTTCTTCCGATTTCAAATATATCTATATATCACCTCGAATTTGGGACACTCAGTATATAAAGTCCGTAAAAATAATAGAACTCAGTTAATTATAATAACGTACTAATTTTATTCATTAACTTTTACTAATTACATCAAATAAATTATATATTATAAACATCCTTGAACAAAACTGCTTCTCTGCTTTTCATTGTGAGATTTCTGTTAAAATGATCTCTAAAAAATAAAAATACACAATATTAAACATATTCAACTTGAGAAACTTTTACATGGTGGTCAATCTTTAAACAAACAAAAAAATAAAAATATTTTTTTTTTCAATTCATTTAATTATACATCATTTTATTTTCATTAATTTGTAGTGTTGTCCTTTATACTCTTAACTTATTCAAGCATTAAGTTTTTACCGCAATTTTTTATTAACTAATTACTGTTTTTAATTAATGTTAATTAATTACTGTTTTTACTACAATTCAACAGTGAAAACATATACTGTTGAATTGGAAAAATATTGCAAATTTGATTGATCACCCTGTAGGATATTGTATAGAATGTCCCCGGGTCGTTTTTACAAAAGGAAAAACTTTTTTAATATTATCACTTTGAGAAAAATCCATTGTTTGCTTGTTCTAAAATGGTTAATTCCGTCTTATAGACTACTGAACATCTATTTCTAGCGTCTGTCTACTTCAACACCATACGTGAAAATATATAAATAACATCCTTAAACAATGAAGGCATATAATTTACTCTAGTTTTAAAAATACTTTATTTTTTTATCTAGAATTTTTATATTCTTTTTGGCAAATTTCCTTTACGCAAGTTTATATCATCGAATATTCATTAAACAGAGTATCAATGTCTATTATACTGTTTGACCAGCGGATCTGAAGCTACGGAAGGAATGCGAGAAAAAAAATCGATATTGCCACGTTTATCTATAAAATTGTAAAATTGCCAGACATGAACTATAAATTTAATATATTTTTATTATATATAATGTGTTTAGCATATATTCTGACGTACATTACTAAGGAATTTTAACGTAGTTCATATTGTTCGATATATTTTATTTAATAACTTATTTCTTTCATTCTGTATAATCTACTTATTATGAAAGTTGAAGATTTTTCAACGATATCATTGGCAAACCGGCATCGCCGCGCATGGCCGCCTATTCATCGACCATGATTGGCAAGAGTACGTCACAGGATTTGTTACCACGCGGTTGCCATGGCTTTTACGCCTTTCCTATTCGCTTGCTTTATCCCCAACTTCACGGTCTCTTCTGAAAAGAGTAGGAATATTGAATACTATTGAAATATCCAGTGGCGGTGTCATTTTTTGATAATTATTACTTTATTTCATTATTTTATACCGGTTATCCTAAACTTTATTCCTATATTTTTCGTATATTTGATAGTTAAGTTGTGTTTTATTGTTTTGTTTCTTGTTATAATGTTTTTCGTTCGTAGTTTTTAATTATTAATATCAAGTTTGATCGTTATTATTAATATCAAGATTGATAAATTTGTTATGGGTAAGACGCTACATAGTCAGACAAGAGAAATAATAGCTAATTTATATTGGTAAGTTAATAATAACGTGGATGAAATCTCATTTGGTTCATTTCCTTGTGGTTCATAATAGGGTTTGGGATGAAGAAGCTACAGAGAGTTCGCTTAAGTTGTCGCTTAAACGTAAACTTGAGCGGATATTTCTTTATACTGGAGTTAGCGTATCGGCTATAAAAAAATTCACACAGAAGATAAAAAAAAGGCTGAAAACTAACCCCGATAAAATGATATCCAGCTCTGGAAAGAAACGACCACGTGAGACTGCTGTCGAAAAGCTCGACGACTTTTTCGAAGTGGTCAGGAATTTGATAAATAGATTTTATATCGAATTCAAACTCGTCCCCACAATTAGAAAGCTTTTGCAAAAATTGCAGGAAGAATCGAATTTTCCTTTTGCAGGGAAACGCTTAGAGGGTTATTAAAATCAAGTGAATTTTTTTGGCGTAAATGTCAAAATAACAAATAAATATTAATGGAGCGGCCCATTATATTGCAGAGAGATATAAATATATACGCGAAATTCGAAAATATAGCCAAGTATTATCTATTTGGATGAAACATATGGGTAGACAATGACCTAACCTTTAAAAACTGCTGGCGGAGCGATACCATATCTGGTGTAATAGGCAATATTGGATCTACTGGTGAGTAAAATTATGTTTTGTTTGCGCTTCCAAAGTTAACTATTTTCAAGATTTTTTTTTGCTGGAAATAGTTATATCTAAAATTATGTATTATAGAAAAAATATAGTTAGTACAGATATATAAATAAATATACCTCAAGACTCAGTCTTGATCATCTGCTGATGGCAGACATGGTTAGCGAAACGTGCGTCCAGTGTAAAATTAAAAGTGTTTTGGTGTATTGTACTGATTTAGTGTTTTATTTTGCTGTGTAACACCAAAGGTTCCAAACCCCAGCTGTAATTATTTCTTCTATTATATTAACAACACAATAATAAAACGATTCAAAATATTTAAGGGAGCTTAAATAAAAGCTTTTAGTGTTTATCTGCTAACTCAACAGGAACGATTCAAACACCATAAAGTTTTTTGAAAAAAAAAATATTAATCTGAGTATTATATTTATGATACACATTATTTTCACATAACACCGTACGCCCATGCCTATTTGATGAATGAAATTGGGCGTGTTTTGTTTACAACTGCGTTCCCCTGCCGATACCCCGTAGCTACAGATCCATTGGTCACACTATACTTCTTTTAATTTCTAAAATGTCTGAAATTTTAATTAATTCCTGGAAAAGAACTGTTTTTAAATTCAAGAAATTAATAAACATGTATTTTTAATAATAAATTTAGAATTTTATTGTTTAATAAAAATGTGGCTGTTAAACAAATAAAACTAAAAGACTTTTGGATCAAAATCGGTACTGTCCCGACAAAATCGGGACGGGTGGCAACCCTGCCGGGGACATACTGTAAAACTCAAGAATAACCGCCTATAATCTCCTATATTTACCCTGGGACATAGTCACTGTAACTGTTCCTAACCAAAACGACAGCGGTGTCTGATAGAATATAACTATCAGGAACAACTTGTTCTTTCTCATTTATGTTAAAGAGAATGGTGTACGTGTCGTTGGTGTCAAGCCTGTATCGTCGGTAGACGAAGAAATTGTCTATGTTGGCCGACATATAAGTCCAAAACCCGTCCTCGTTTTGGAAAACACGCCTCAACTCCACCATTTCTTTATAGATGTTGTAATGACTATTAACATCTTCGGATAGTTGAGCCTCGAGGTTAGTTTCGAGGTATTCTTTGCTGACAGGTAACCAGGTTTTGGCTCCCTCATTAAATCCTGTTTGAAAAAATACGTATTTTTTATTTTTAATGCGTTTTTTAATGTTATTAAAATGTACCAACCTGCGTTAACCTCGGAATTCCACTGGTATGGGGTTCTCTCGAAATCTCTGCTGGTTTCATTGAAAGTGGTACAGTTCTTTATTGCTTGGGGATCATAGCCTTCTTGACAAGTAACTTCACCTAAATTTATTGAAGTTTTCGTTAACAATAGTTATTTATGGTACTAGTGTGTTATCTATACTAATATATAAAATCCTTAAGTGACTGACATACTGATTAATCACGATCCTGCTCAAACCACTTAACGTAAGAATCTCAATTTTGGCATACAAGTTGATTCTAGGGTGTAGAGGTTCGATAAGATGGGATTTTTTGAAATTCCAGTTCCAAGAGGGTGAAACCACCCCTCAAATATAACAATATTTTTTATTTAAAAAACGGCCAAGTTTCCGAAAAAACGCTTAAACAAGTATATTTTATTTTGTTTTTTACGTATTTTAAGATTTTTTAAAAATGTATACAGGGTGTTTCGAAAAATCTGGTCATTGATTAATCACGATCCTGCTTAAAGCACTTGACGTAAAAAGCTGATTTTTGGAAAACAGACTGACTTTAGGGTGTAGAGGTTCGATAAGAAAGGATTTTTCGAAACTGGAATTATAAGGGGGTGAAACTATCCCTCAAATATTAAAATATTTTTTATTTAAAAACCGGTGAGTTTTTCAGAAAAACTCTTAAACACGTATATTTTATTTTGTTGTTTTACATATTTTAAGATTTTTTATAAATTTATACAGGGTGTTTCATAAAATATGACCACTGCGTAATCACGATTCTGCTTAAACTGCTTGAGGTTTAAAGCTGATTTTTGGCAAACGGATTGACTGTGGGGTGTAGAGGTTCGATAAGGAGGGGTTTCTCGAATCTCAAATTCCAAGAGGGTGAAAACGCCCCTCAAATATTACAATATTTGTTATTTAAAAAACGGTTAGGCTTTTGTCGGGAAAACGCTTGGACAAGCATAATTGATTTGGTGTTTTTAATTAATATTATTTTTTCGGGTTAATATCTCGAAACCATCGAAATATATTTACTCATATCTTAGGATTAAGTAAACTGATCTGCAAGGAAGCCAAAAATTCAAAAATATCACATCCAGATGCACTCATACTTTTTTGAGCCACCCTCTAGAAGTTAAAATATTTCTCTGAAATACATCCTGGTACATACTTTAGGTTTGTACTTAAACAAAATTCTCAAGTTTTTTATTTTGGGAGCTACAGATGCCCGACGCACTATTGCCGGACCCTGTATATATATAGTGGCTGTTGAATAAATTATTTTTTTTATACAACATAATCTTATACCCACCGTTTTCTTGCCCAATCTCCTCTCCATTGTAGGTAACCTGAATTCCGGGTAAAAGAGCTACAAACATATTTAGAAAATCGATATTTTCTGGTCCTAGTCTTGTCGCAACTCTGTTCTGATCATGGTTTCCTAACTGAGAAAAAAATCCTTCATCTCCTCTATCAAATACTATAACAATCAAAAGATTCTTACCACCCAGTTATTAGTGTAATACAACGGAATATAATCGTACCAATATTTCACAGCGTCCAATAACTCGAACGCGTTAAAACCAAGTCTAAGGCTCATAATGAACGTCTCGAAATTGAAGGTGAAATGTGCTCCCAAAACGGAACCGTCTTTTGTACCATAGTACCTCATTGTCGTTTCTATATCGCTGTAAACCTCGGTCATCATGATCCTTGGATACGAACTGTTCTGGTTGAACTCGTCCAAGACAGCCCTGAACTGATAGATCATTTCGATTGTTTCGTTTAGATCGTTGTGTAAATGTGTTCTAAGTAATTATAGTTGTCTGGATCTACGTTATCTCCTGGAAAAATATTTTTTAGAAAAAAAAGTTGTTTAAGTTTATTTCACCTGATAGAGGTTCGTCTCTGAAATCTGCATCTTCAAATATAGTTGGAACGGCGTCCATTCTGAAACCGTCAATTCCAAAGTCAAGCCAGTACCTTAAAACGTCTTTCATTTCGTTTACTACTGTGGGATTGCGGTAGTTTAGGTCAGGTTGTCCAGTTGAGAACTGGTGCAAGTAGTACTGCTGTCTCTGTTCACTCCATTCCCATGCAGATCCTCCGAATCCACTCAGCTGCAAAAACATTATGTTGTTTTAAGAAAACTTCCAAGTTAAAACTGAGAAAATAATACCCAGTTGTTTGGTGGAGTTTTGGTTCCGTTGACAATCACCGCATCTTTCCAGACATAGTAGTCAGCGTATCCAGATTCGTTTTTCAAAGAGGCTTGGAACCAGGCGTGTTGATCACTGGTGTGATTGGGAACGTAATCTAGGATTACTTTAATACTACGGTTGTGTGCTTCATCTACCAGTTGTCTCAAATCATCTAATGTACCGTATATTTCGTCTGAGAAAAAAAATAGGCGGTTTCAGAGTTTGATAAATGTTTTTAATGGTATTAGGTTAATCCATACCGATGTCACGATAGTCTGAAATGTCATAACCGTTATCGACTTGAGGAGATTTGTATACAGGAGACAGCCAAATTGCATCTACTCCCGCGTCTTGGATATGGTCAAGTTTTTGGATTATTCCTAAAATGAAAACAGTATTATTAGAAGTAGTTTTTATATGTCCTATACCGGGAAACTTTGTGACCTCTCTAAGGCCTATTGACTTTGTCCTCAAAACCAAATCTTTCTAGTAAAAATAAAATTAAAAAAGGAAATCCTATAATTTCGTAGTTAACAAAACATAAAGTTGTAAATAGAAATGTTCATGTATCCGTTGTCCGACGATAAAAATTACGCAGGTTTTATATTTATTGGAAAAGTTCGTATAAATGTATGTCCTAAAATGCTTAGTTTCGGAGATACAGGGTGTAGACGTCTCATTTTTATTTCGATTTTTTCCAAATAATTTCTGCAGTATCGTCAATATTTGGATGAAAATTGGCCTCTGGGAGTTTTTTGACATGAGAAATTTGATTTTGATGTCAATATGACTTCTACTGGTAGAGGGCACCACCTAAATATTGTTAGCTGGTTTGAAGAGTAATAACTTTTCGTCCGTGCCTGTATAAAACTACTGGGTAAAAAATATACATTTACGACGTTTTTTTACGTAAAAAATGTCACTTGGTAAAAATCGATACTCGTATTGGTTTTCGAGATATTTGGAATCGAAATTATCAATACCTGTCATCGTTGACATAAATTAAACATGTTGACTAAATAGTTATTAGACTGAGATCATAAATTTGAAATTTTTTTGTGCCAAAAGCTCAACAGAAACTGATATGATAAAACAGTTTTTATCATCATTTTTTGCAGAAAAATTTATGATTAATTTAAAAAAATAAAAAGTTCCCAAATTTATTATTTCAGTGAAATAACTATCTATAGTCTGTGAAACGACTAACTTTGAATTTGACAGTTCCCGCGGGCTTTTCTATTGTTAATTTTATTAGGGTAGCAACTTGCGGCCATGCTGACCCAATGCCGTCTCTAATAGAACAGCCTCGGAGCGAGATTTATGACGTCACGCTAGTTACATACTACAGATTAATATATTGTAGAATACATGGAAAACATAATTATTCCTCGTATTTTTGGTTTGTATTTTAAAAATGATATAGTTTACATGAAATATGCATAATATACAGTTAATATAAACAGTTAATATAAATAAGTTAATATAAAAAAATATATATACAGTTAATAAATAAAAACGTTGGTTAAGTTTTCATTTGGTTTTCCATTATATTTTTTTTGGTTTAAAAAAACGTTTCGGCTAACATTATAGCCTTAATCAGTGCTGTGTCATATGTTTTTTTTTCATTTTAAAACCAACAAAAATAATGAAAAACCAAATGAAAACTTAATCAGCATTTTTCCCGAACAATCCCAAGAAAATCAAAAATTTTAGAATAATTTTACATATAAAATGACAGCGATCTATATTTCATAGCCATCGCTGACGCCTTTTTTTCTATGATATTGTATTATTTGCAAATATAATTTTTCGAACATTGATACTTGCAAAATGTACATATAAATTTTGTGAATGCAAATAATAATACATCACTATTAGTAGATATTGAATGTTTTTTTGTTAAATTAAATCGATTTTCAAACCAAAATTTAAAATATATTTTACATTTTACCCATTATCTTATGTACCTATTCATTATTTGTATATTGTAAAACATTTGCTGCATTTGTATGGTTCATAGTTTATTTGCCAAAGTATTTATTACTATAAATAGGTATATAATATATTGTATTTATTAACTGTATATTATGTATATTTCATGTCAACTATATCATTTTTAAAATACAAACACGAGGAATAATTATGTTTTCTATGTATTCTACAACATATTTATTAATCCGTAGTATCTAACTAGCGTGACGTCATAAATCTCGTTCCGTGGCTGTTCTATTAGAGACGGCATTGGTCTTATATTTAGAAATGTCAAAAGCTGATGACATTTGACTTTTGACAATTATGACATTTTGTGTTGATTTTTGTAAGAAGAGGCAGAACTGTGACTTGTTTTATAATTTTACTTTTCTATTTCACGAAAGTAAAAAGAGTTACCTATCTGATTCGTTCAGTCACTCAATTTAAAGAATATCAGTAACTTTATTGAACGAGGGATTTTATATTTGCCATGTTGGTAAAAAATAACGGTCAAAATTCAAAGTTATTCATTTTATAGACTATACTCAACGTGTTTATTTTTCGTCAATAATGACATGTATTGACTATTTCCATTCTAAATATCTTGAGAACGTTTGCTCTTAGCAATTTTTACCGAGAGGCATTTTTTACGTAAAAAACCACAGAGATGTATATTTTTCGCTCGGTAGTTTTATACAGGTACGGACAAAAAGTTATTATGCTTCAAAACAGTTAAAACACATGTAGGTGGCGCCCTCTACTAGTAGGAGTCATATTGAGATCAAAATCAAATTTCTCATGTCAAAAAACTCCTCGGCACCAATTTTCATCGATATATTGAGGTTATTTCAGAAATTATTTGGAAAAAATCGAAATAAAAATGAAACTTCTACACCCTGTATCTCATAAACTAAGCATTTTAGGACATACATTTATACGAACACTTTTACTTATTTTTATCTGCAGAATATGCTGCCGAAGTTTCCGGAATACAGTTCGGACCACCCTGTATATTAAAGAACTAGCTTTCTTAAAATTCTCGTTTTCCCGACTGTGCTAGCTCTTAAATTTGTCAAGAAGGTGTCAAAACGTCCGTTATCGTACGATCTTTCTCCTGGAGTAAAAAAAATTACGGATGAAAAGTGGCGCGTAAACTCTATATGACCAATCAGAGCGTCGCGCCGTCGGACCATCGCATCAACGGATAACGGACGCATGAAAATCAAGCTTTAGTAATTAATAATTCAGAATTGCAATACGTACCTTGTAGGTCTCCACTGCCATCATTATTACTGTCTTTGAAACTCCTCGGGTAAATTTGATAAAACACTGCGGTCTGCCACCATTCCAAGCTTGAACTGTCCAACGATACCTTGAAAGACTTTGAAACCACAGTATTGTCAAGCTCCGCACTAACAACTACCGCACCCAGGCCGGTAAACAATAACAAAGTTATAGATAGCATTCTTTTTGTGCTTTCAACGCTCTGATTGCCAATTAATAACAGATGCTGCTTTTAAATACTTATATTTATGTAGGCCTTATCTGATTATGGTTCGAAAGGTTTATATGATTAAAACAAACAAAACATAATTAATTATAATGTTCTTTAGGTTTATTTGTATGTTTATAAAGTCTTAGTAACATCAATATATTCCAGAAATAATGAGGAAGTAAAAATGTAATAATTAATAAAAAGGGTTTAAGTAGGATTTTAATTGATCGATTTTGGAACACCCAGAACACTTGTTTTGTCGATTTTAAGAAATTTTATAAAAACAAGTTATCTCTTGTGGTTCGATGTAAATCAGATAAATTATATTAAATACACCTTTTTCCACTTAAGAGGGAAAGATATGAAACATAAACAAATTACATAAGGAATGTAGCTGAATGTAATTAATTATTATACTCTCTATTCTCTTACTAATTGATGAAATCTTTATCTGTCAACCCCGAGCTCAGAACTAGTTAAAGGCTCAATACTGTACAATGCCAAAAAAATGTACACTCATCTGCTTTTGAATATCAAGTCGCTTTCATTCTTTCCCGCATTTCGCAAGCTCTGAAATTATACTTACTGGAGAGAGCCCTATACTATGCGGTAAACGACTTTTTTGTTGATGTTTAATCTTGAACAATTTTGAATTTCAAAATTTTGATCATCTCGCACACTGGTTAAAAATCTAGTATTTATTATTTTATAATAATTCTTAAATGAGTATAACCACTTACAATTTTCCAGTTGTAAAATTTATTGATACGTTTGTTTTTTTTGTGTTCTGCAATGTCCATGTATGTTCTGTTTGTAATTTTAATGACGTATTTTTTTTGAATTGTATGATGCTTGGTTAGATCTTTTATTATTTGTATATTTTTTGTGCTTTTGTTTGTTTTTTAAATGCTTTGTCGATGAAGCTATTTTGGCTTTTTGTACAATAAAGCGTTATCTATACTAATATGTTTGTAAAATCCTTAAGTGACTGACATACTGATTAATCACGATCCTGCTCAAACCACTCAACGTAAGAAGCTCAATTTTGGCATACAGGTTGATTCTAGGGTGTAGAGGTTCGATAAGAAGGGATTTTTCTAAATTCCAGTTCCAAGAGGGTGAAACCGCCCCTCAAATATTACAATATTTTTTATTTAAAAAACGGCCAAGTTTCCGAAAAAACGCTTAAACACGTATATTTTATTTTGTTTTTTACGTATTTTCAGTTTTAAAATGTATACAGGGTGATTCGAAAAATCTGGTCATTGATTAATCACGATCCTGCAAAAGCGCTTGACGTAAAAAGCTGATTTTTGGAAACAGATTGACTTTTAGGGTGTAGAGTAGCGATGGGAACTATCGAATGAATATAGACTATCGAATGGTTAATGAATGAAAAGATTTAAAACTATCGAATGGTTTCTGCTGATGATGCTAACATGGTTAGCGAAACGCGCGTCCAGTGTAAAAGTAAAAGTGTTTTGGTGTATTGTGGTGATTTAGTGTTTCATTCATTTTGTAAAGTAAAGCATATGTGACAACCTCGCCGTGCGACTAAATGGTTATCGTTGAGCCACGACTATCGAATGCTTTTGATAAATGAAATTTAGTATTCGTTTGATTTTTGTATGCGTCAGTGCATTATTAGTTCTTCCAAATTTTTATAACTTCACCGTATAAATACTGTGCTATTTTTGCGTTTACTAAAATAGTTAAAATACTAAAATAGTAGTTATTTTTTAATTTTATTTATTGACGATTGTGTGCATGTGCAGGTGGTCAAAATTTTTCCGAAAAGTTGTGTGGTTTTCCGTAGTCCGATCTTTCAATTATTTAATTTTATATGGTATATGGTCTATTTTTTAATGGGAAATTTTGAGAAGTAGCAATTTTTAAGAGAGATGAGATGAACTTAAATTAATTTTAAAAGTACATATTTGTATTTTAGATGTTTTAATAATATGAATTAGTTGAACTTAATAATCATATTAAAGTAATGTGGTTAAGTAAATGGTTATCGAACTCAAACTATGGGGTGAGAAAATTAAAATGAAAGTTTTACACGTGCCAATTTAAAAAAAAAGTTAACGATGTTTGTATTTTGTTTATGCTAATTCTCTTACATGTAGTTTTTGCGAAGAAATATTTCATTTATTTTTTAAAGTAAATGCCAGTAAAAGTAAATATAATTTTTAAATAGTAATATAAAGCACCTAATATAAATAATTTGATTTCTAATTTTTATTTATATTTTCCTTCCATTACACCGCTTGCTTAGAAAATTAATAAATGTTTATATTTCAGGATTTTAAAATTTGTTGTTAATATAACAAATTAGTTCTGTAATTATTATTATTTAATAAACCAACGTTGCCAAAAAATTAGAGACTATATTATTTTTTAAATGGGATCTAATATAAATAATTTTGACATCTAATTTGTTGTTTATATTTTGCTACTACTTAAAAAAATATTTATATTAAATGATTTTAAATTTTGTTGTTAATAGGTATAACAAATTATTACTGTTATTATTATTTTTTAAACCAGTCTTTGCTTAAAACATTAAAAATAATTTTCCTACATCCAAAATAACAAGTATTATTGCAGTGTAACAACAGAATATTAATAAAAAAATGCAGAATATATAGACATACTATCCCTAACTAACTAAAGCCAAACAATAATATTCTTTGCTAATATCAACTAATACAAAAATATGGCAACAGCGCCCTTCATAATGTATTTTCTGTGTAAATACTAGCACCTCAATAAAAAAATAATGTGTCCTTATCTATATATGACTCGCAAAAATCAAAGATGCCGGCTTCTTTCATAGCATTGCCACCGACCGCTTTCTCGGAAAAAAACGTCGCCGGGCGACAACTAAAATTCAGTTAATATTTTATTATAATCGATCCTGACGAATAAATGAATTTCATAAATGAATGAATTTTATAAATGAATGAATTTTATAAATGAATGAATTTTATAAATGAATGGTTTTGCTGCCGAATTACTAGAATACAATATTTCAAGGCAGATGACGGATCTATTCGATAATTTTTATTCGAATAGTTTTCAACGAATGTTTTCTTACTAACTATCGAATTATTCGAATGAATTGCAACTATCGAATGTTTCGATAGTATTCATTCGATAGTTCCCTCTACTAGTGTAGAGGTTCGATAAGAAAGGATTTTTCGAAACTGGAATTCTAAGGGGGTGAAACTATCCCTCAAATATTAAAATATTTTTTATTTAAAAACCGGTGAGTTTTTCAGAAAAACTCTTAAACACGTATATTTTATTTTGTTGTTTTACATATTTTAAGATTTTTTATAAATTTATACAGGGTGTTTCATAAAATATGACCATTGAGTAATCACGATTCTGCTTAAACTGCTTGACGTTTAAAGCTGATTTTTGGCAAACGGGTTGACTGTGGGTTGTAGAGGTTCGATAAGGAGGGGTTTCTCGAATCTCAAATTCCAAGAGGGTGAAAACGCCCCTCAAATTTTACAATATTTATTATTTAAAAAACTTTTTTTGGGAAAACGCTTGGACAAGCATAATTTATTTGGTTTTTTACATATTTTGATTTTTTTTTAAATCATACAAGGTGTTCAAAAAAGTTGGGTAATTTCTTAACCACGATTTTGCTTAAACTGCTTGACGTAAAAAGCGTATTTTTGGCAAACGGATTTTTCGAAAGTCAAATTCCAACGGGATGAAACTACCCCTCAAATATTACCAAGTTATATAATAATATCGCCATATTGTTTTTTCTCATGCTGACATAAATGTGAGAAAATTTTATCCAGTTTGTATGTTAATGGAAATTCTTTGTTCTTCTAGGTCTCTTATTCCTCTTGGGTACCATGCTTTAATCTTTGTGGTCCATCTGTTGTCCGTTCTTCTTGCCAGGTGTCTTGCAGATTTTTCATGTGATAGGCTAGGTCCGCTACAGATTTGGCACACCAAAATAAAACACAAATTTTTTATCCACAGATCAAGTCCGCAGGCCAAATCTTCGGGTGTATGGGGGGCTACAAATTCATATTTCTCTCTCATAGGTATCTACCAATGGTATCTACACATTCCTAATAATAAATACAAAACAATTTACAAACAAATAATTTCCAAACTAGCTACGAATATTTTATTTTAGGACTAATATTACGGTGATAAGATTTACTGATTTTATTTGAATGGAATATTTTATCAACAACTTTAATATCACGTCCGGTTATCATCGATATACACGGGTGCTCCGAACTGTATTCCGGACTTCGGCAGCATATTCTGCAGATAAAAATAAGTAAAAAAGTTCGTATAAAAGGCTGGGAGTTTTTTGACATAAGAAATTTGATTTTGATGCGAATATGACTCTTATTTGTAGGAGGTGCCACCTACATATGTATGTTTTAACTGTTTGGAAGAGTGAAACAATACACATTTCCGTGACTTTTTACGTAAAAAATGTCTCTTGGTAAAAATCGCTACGAGCAACCGTTTTCAAAATATTTAGAATGGAAATAGTCAATACATGTCTTTACTTGTTGCATAGTTATTTGACTGATTAATAAATTTAAGAAATTTTTAATTTTTTAAATTAATCATAAATTTTTCTGCGAAAAAATGGTGATAAAACAATTTCTGTTAAACTTTTGGCACAAAAACATTTCAAATTTATGATTTCAGTCTAATAACTATTTAATTAACATGTTTAATTTATGTCAATGATGACAGGCATTGATAATTTCAATTCCAGATATCTCGAGAACTATTACTCGTAGCGATTTTTACCAAGAGACCTTTTTTACCTTAAAAATGTCTTAAATGCATATTTTTTTATTTAGTAGCTTTATACAGGTACGGACGAAAAGTTATTACTCTTCAAAACAGTTAAAACACATGTAGGTGGCGCCCCCTACAAATAGGAGTCATACTCCCAAAAACCAATTTTCATCCATATCTTGACGTGACTTCAGAAATTATTTGGAAAAAATCGAAATAAAAACAAAAC